ACTTTTCTGTATATTTTAATATCACAATAAAGTGTTCTGTTAATGTCAATTATGTTAACTTAATGGCAATGTAATTTAAAGGTTTTTTTGTCTTTATGGAGTAAACACGGAAATAACTTAGTGTTAAGAAATTCTCTTCATAATACTAGAATGATAAAAAAGATATTTAGATTTTAAGTCATCTCACTCACTAATCACTTTTTCATTAACAACATATCTATTTAGAACCTTTGGTTTCTTTCAAACTGGCCAGAATTTAGTGTTCTTAACTTTGAGATTAATTCTCCTATTTCCTTGTATAATTACTTATAAGGCTTAGGTTCCACCAGTGTACAGAGGTACTGATGTTATTGTTCACAATTTAAAACCTCACTTTATTTACAAATTTGCAGAATACCAGCAGACTCACATATATAGAATTTCTTAACTTAATAATTTACTAGAATAATTTTTAACTCTGTAGCTATTGAATGGTAAAATAAATTAGGTATATTATTCACTGAAGTGAAAAAAATCTAGCTAATGTGATCATACTTTCATTTCTAAGATTACTGTATTGAGAAGTATAAAAGCTATGCAGGCCACATTATATTCCTAAAAGGTGGATACAGGCTTGTAAAATGTGAAATAATAGCTGAAAAAAAAATTTTACTTGTCTTTTTAGAAAAATTTCCCATATTGAATCATTCTATAATTCTGGTGACAATTCTATGCTACTTTTAGAAAAAAAGTACATATTATTAAACAGAAAGTCATTTTCATGAAGACCAACCCTGAAACTGAGATTTTTCTTGGTGCTGTAAAATCTTTGTTGCTGTAAAATTAGGTTTCAAGGCTCTGAAATATTAAGTTTAAAATACAATGCATTTGCACTGCACTGAATAAATGTTTTTAAGTCTGTTAATAGTTTAGTACTGAGCAAATTGTTACCAAAATAAGTAAATATTAACTTAGATTTGAGTATAAAGTAAATATGTTATTTATGTAAAAATAAAACTTCACATACACCACTTTAATAAAACGGTCTTTTAATGGTTTCTAAACAACATAGGAGAAGCTATTCTGTTGCTGATGAAAAATCTAGGACTTCTAAGTTTTAAATAAGTGATAACAAAGAGTTTTAATCTTGTGTCCCTCATGATTTTGATTATGCTGCTCAAAATTCCTTCCTTTATATTTCCATCCCGATTTACCAATTCCAGATTATCTAAAAATATGGAAAAGTAAAAAGCCTTGGTAATACTAATATGTACCCCAGAAGCCCAGGGTGTCATACACTTCTGTGTCATAACACTTGTTACAAATTCACTCGGAATATTGGGGGCAGGGGGAGGAGAGAGTCCCAAGACGTCACCACCTAAGAAAATATTTTACTTTTCTGGAATTATATTTTTTCCAACGATATCTGACATACAGCTTTAGGACTATTCTTTAAAGTGTTTGAATGTTTACTTTTCTTGGAATGAAGACAGCTTACTGATGATTATGCAATGAACAAATATTAATAAGACTACTGTCAGAGATGTCCTTCCAGCAACGCCTTATAATTGTGGAAGGTGGAATCTTGGTTAGAAATATTTAACTGCAATTTGGGGAAGAAATTAAGGTTGAGAACTTCTTTAGGAAATTGAAAGCCTGGCCTACAGGACATTCAGAGCTCCAGACTTCTGAAAGGCTGCCATAATCTCAGAGAGCAAGCTGCTTCTTTTCTAAAGTTAGCAGTTAATAAAAATTAACTACCTGAAAATAATAGATGAAAACTGGGCTTCAGAAAAGCCAAGTCCCAACCTTGTTTACAGCAAGCAAAAAAACAGATTCCTAATCCTCTGGAGCCACAATCACCTATTGATTGCTAGGACATCTGTGCCCCTGTTTTTGGAAGCTGGGTTTTCAGCAGAGGCAGGGCTGAAAAATCAGACCATTTCAGTACCCTGTGTGATAAACAGCTGACAAGGGTCTCCAGGGAGGAGTCTGGAAACCCACACCTCAGCTCACTCTTTTCTTACCTACGGATGGACCCAGTTAAAAGTCCTCCCTTCCGCCTAAAGAAGTTTTCTTTCTGATGCAATCTACAAAGTAGCATCTCTAGAACTCAAGGGCTCTTCTAGGAAACAAAGGGTGAAGGGCTTTGTGCGCCACCAAATACCACCTCCTTCGCCCCAAGCCAGCCAGAGTAAGCCACCCAGCCCAGCCCAGACTCAAATCAGCGGGGGGAGACAGAACAATGACCTCAAAGATCTGGGCCTTTTAACCCCTTTTTAACCTTAGAGCTTCCCTAGGGATAAAATCTCTTAACTATCCTAGACCTGAAAGGGGCGGGATGCAGGTGGGGGGTGGTTTTAACGGATTGGTCCCACTCAGTCCTGTACGAAGTTTGCGTCGTCAACTTCAAACTTTCTAGCCGAGGCCGTGGCAATGAGCGGGGACCACCTGGGGATGGGGAGCTTGTGTGTGGTGTAGGGGAGACGGAGTGGGCGCACCCTAGAGCCGTGTTCAAAAACCGCGCCCTCCCCTTAATATAGGCTGCTTAGTAGCTTTCAAGAGACAGCTGATTGGTTTCCGTTTTCACTTCTCAAGTTCACACCCGAGTGCAACCCCTGACTCCCACAAAACGTCTGAAGAGCCTATACCTTTTTCAACTCATCCTTGAAGCACAAACCCCGATGTCGCGGGAGGGCATGATCTGCAGGAAATGTGCAGGGACGGCAGATGAGAGTCAAGAAAGGAGAAACTGAGGGGTAGAAAGGACTCCGCCACCTTGTAAGCTTGCTTTTTCTCCAGCGCGTTCCCGAAGGCCGCCTGAGAGCCTCCGTAAATTAGAATACGTAAACTCTTCTGGGCAGCCTGGCGAGGGTGGTGTCCTCTGCAATGGGCAGTGGGCTTCTCCTGGCCTCTCAGGTGAGCATAAGGCGAGCGCCTGGCTATCAACCCTTCCAGCTGCTGGAGTCCCCGCGGCAAGCTCCATGGCGAACCCGGGCTGTAGCCAGCAAACTGCTCCTTCAGGAGCAGCGCGATCAAGCTACAAGCCTCTGTTGCCCCCCACACTCCCCAGTGTTCTACCATTTAAGGGGAGTATGTGCAGCTTTTATGCCCCAGGTCCTAGTGCCGGGTTGGAGTTGAGGTGGCCTGTAGTTTTGGACCCTCAGAACGTAAGAACTCAGCCACGGGAGGACTGTTGGAAGGGCAGAAGGTGGGGAAGGACGAACTGACAGACTCAGACCAGAGAAGAAGCTGAAAGGAAAGCTGATAATGGTGAGATGGGACAGGAAAAGGAAAACAAATACTAGGAGTCTTTCACTTAAAGGCCAACTCACCAACTGCTCAAGTAGAGTTTCCCGAAAGAATCTGGACGGCGGAGCATGTGACCAAACCCCCAGCTAGAACACTAAACTGGAACTGCTGGAATTCCTGGGCCCCTACTTCCAGGGCGAGAGTTAGTCAAGACCATCCCATCAGAATGTCCCCGTCCTTTACCTTCAGCAACATCCCCTACCCCCTGCATCCCTGGGGAGCCTCAGTGTTCCTTCTCTTCCTTCCCTTTCCTGCCACGACCCAGGGCCCGGCGGGCTAACCTAGTCTCCGCCCCACCGTCCAGGTTCTGGGCTCCTTCGCTCCGGGACGGGGGAGTACGCCCGCTACGCGCTCGGGGCGCTCCTAGAGCGGTGCTGGGGGGATGTGAGTGGCGAGTGAACACAGCCCCGTGGAAGGCGAGGAGTGTCTGCAGCCCAGCTCTCCAAGTTCTTCCTGCTTCGTCCACCTGTCGCGGGGTCATGGATGTGCGAAGGTCCGGAACCGGCTGTTTCCCACTCTGTTGCCAGGACCCTTAAAGGGTTTGCCAGGACCCTTAAAGGGTAGAGAAGAGCCTTCCCCCGCCGCCCCCCCTCCAAAGAACTGCAGGGTGACCGGGAGGAAAAACTAGGATGGGGTGGAGGTGGGAGCGAGTCCTCAGAGGCTTGTTCATACTCCCATGGTACTCGGGTACCCGGCCCGCTGTCCTAAGAGTGAAGTTGTGGCCAAGCAGAAAGCGAGGGTGAGCGGGTCCAGGCACAGCGCGCAGGAAACCTGAAGGTCTCGGCACCACAGGGGAGTAGACGAACAAAAAGCTGACTCCCTAAAGCCAGCCAGGCCATCTACTCGGGCAGCTCCAAGAGCAGCCGGAGAAGGTGTCTCTGTCCTGTCCCTGGCGCGCTGCCCCGCAGCTGCCATCTCGCCCCAGGGACCCGCCGCTATCATCAGTGCCTGGGGTCCTGGCTCCAGGGCTCACCCAGACCGCCTCTCGCAGAGGCTATTTGACAAAAGAGCCTGTCCCGTCGGGGATGGGCTCTGGAACTTTCTCCATACAACTTTCTCGGGTTGGCGACGGTCCCTGGGCGGCGCGGGCTAGGGCACGCGGACCTGGCTAGGGCGCAGCGGCAGAGCGAGAGACACGCTCAGAGGCCGATCTCCGAATCCGCTTTCAGCCCCACGACACCGCCCCTCTGCCTACCACTCCCACGTAGGGACGTGTCAGCCGGCGGGGACGCTGGTGGGCCTCGTAGCTTGGAGAGCGAGTGTGCCCGCGCGCTCCCACCCCGCCGCCCGCTGGTGCGCCTAGCGCGCCCAACCCCGGCTGGCGCCCGCCGCGCGCCGAACGCTTCCAGCCACTTCTGTCGCCAGACATCCCGCTCCCGGTTCTCCGTCCATCCCGCGTCCGCTTCCGCACGCAAGAGTGACACGCAAAAATGGTTCGGCGCAACTCTCGGACTGTGGGGGAAGCAATCAGAGTCGCTCCCCTCTCCAAAAAGCGCCCTCCCGCGTCCCTCCAGAACTCCCGAGAGGCATCAACACCTTCCCACAACTTTCTACGCCCAGGCCATTTGCAGCCCACCTGCGACCGCGAACTCGGGGACTGCGCCCCGCCACCCTCCTTCCTCGCGGCTGGGAGCGCTCCCCTCCCCCACCTCCCCATCTGGCTGGAGTTGCCGGACCCGGGCAGCCTCGGTGCCCGCGGGCTCGCTTACCTCGCATGGTGTGGCCGCTCTCCCGCTCCGCGTAGTCATGAAGCTGCTCCCAGCCCGAACCCCGGAGAGCCCAAAAATCCCGCTCAGCAACACTGAAGAAGGTGGTCGGCAAAGAGCTGCTCAACCGATAAAACCATCCCTTCAGGCGGACGCTGTGGCCGGAGGGTGACGTTTGCTGTCGCCGCCGCCGCTAGGTTAACAGTTTTGAGGGTGGTGGTGGTGATTGTTTTGATGGTTGTTTGTTTGTTTTCAGGAAGGGTGGAAAAAAATGTGCTGGCTGGCTGGTGCCTGGGTTTTGTTTTGCTTTTGTTTTTCTCTTTTCTTTCTCTCCAATGTGCTTGCTTAAAAAAAAAAAAAATGCCACCGCCTCCGGCTCAGAAGATTTCTTTTGTGATCACTTGGACTGAGGAGGAAGGGCAGCAGCAGGAGGAGTTGGTGGTGGTTTTGTTAGTTACAAAGAAGAGGGAGAAGGAGCAAGAAAAAAAAAAAGAGAGAAAGAAAAGGAAGAAAGGCTGTGTGGATGGCAGAGCATGTGCGTTTTCACATGACATCTGTGCCTGTTAGCGGATCCACAATGTGAATTTTCACTGTTCAGTTACAGGGAGGAAGGGAGCGAGAGAGAAAGAGAGAGGAGAGAGATGGAGAGAGAGCGCCGAGAAGGGGCTTATACGCCGGGGAGGGTTTGGCCGGGACTCCAGGCCCCGCCTCCTGTCAGCGCCGCCGCCAATCAGCGCCCGGCAGCGCTCGGCGGGGCCGGGACTGCGGCGGGGGGGGGGGGGGGGGGGCGATTACAGACGAGGGGCGGGGGCAGGGGACACTGGAGCCGAAGGCGGCGGGAGCTGGAACTGGTCAATGGAGACTGTCCGAACTGGGCAGACGAGGAGCGGGACCGACCGAGAGAGTCGGCAGAGTCGGCCAGATCTGCAGGTGACTTTCGCTTCCTACTCGGGGGGAGGGAGAGGACGCCGACCGGTTCTTTAAAGGCGAGACACGCTGGGCTCCCCGGATGCCACATTCCGTCCTTCTCTCTCTCAAAGCCTGAAGGCTGGAGAGTTAGTTCTGAATTTATGGCAGCGCTCCGCAGTCCTTTTTCGGTAAACTCTGAATGTCTAAAGGGGGTTTCCATGTGCAGGGCGCTTCACTTTTAGTGGCAGAACAACTCAAGTCAACTTTGTGCACAACTAAAATGCAGTCCCATGCAAGTAGCCATCCGCTTCTTAAAACCATCTTTCAGATGCTTCCTGTCCCCAATCCTAACAACAAGCAGAAAAACACAAAGCACTGAGATTTCTTTCCTTCTTTTTTAGTATTTTGAAAAGTGTTTTCTTTTGTCGAGGAAATTAATTTTTATTAGCTTTTGGAGACTCTCCTGGAGTTGAGCTACCCTTCTCAAGGGTAACAGCCCCAATTGGCAGTATGGCTCCCTTAGAGATGCAAGGCAGAGGGCTGAGGCCTGAAGACAAGACTTGATTTGATAAAGGTGCAGGGCTTTCAGAGGAAGGAGATTCAATTTTAGTTGCTATGAGAAGACATTTACCTATTTAGAGGAGATTGGCAATTAAATGTAGATAAAGTTTTTAGCTGAAAATTGTCATCTATGAACATTTGTTTGCTTTTTAGATAAAATAAATTTAGATTAAATAATTTAATACGTATCTCAAAACTGTTTCTTTGCAAGATTTCCCCTCTCACTGGACAAAATAAACATACAGATGACCACATGGACTTCCATTCCTATGGGAGAAAACTTTGTAAATAGTGTGGTTAATTGGTTACCCTAAAAGTGAAAGCGGTGAAAAATTTGCCTCATGTACTGGGTCCTAAGGGATGGAGGCTTCTATTCATTAGTGTACCTGTTAGCAGAGGCAGGCCTATCAGTTCAGTATCCAAATACTTTGATTTTTACTAATATTTATTTGCATTATATCATGTAACACAAAATGCAATGTAGGGTTGGCGATTATTTAGTTAATTAGATCACTTTACACTACCAAGTATTTTTTTGGTTAAATAAAAATATGGATTACTTGCTGAATCTTCACTAGTGTTAAATTGACAGCCCTGCTATATGCCCTTCCATTTGCAAGCCAAGGTGTAATTTAGGAAAATTTTAGTATTTAGAGCAAAAGTTGATTGAGTCTTTAATTAAATGAAATGAACAAAAGGAAGTTACTGTTCAGAATATTCACTTATACCTTTTTCCCCTAGATGTGTAATTGACACAGTAGTTAATCTTTTAAGATAATATTTAAGGCTCTCTGGTTTTATCATTTTTAATCAAGTAAAATATATTCATCATAACTACATTAAAGCTGCACTAAGTTATGCCTAATTTAGTTGCTTCATTAAAAATTACTGAATATAAAATAGTTAAGAAACAAATTGTAACTACATCATTTTAATTTTATGTGCTTTAAGCAGAGACACAGGAATTCTGAAAATTCCAAAAGCCTTTGTAAATGATTTAATTATTGTTGTTGTCATTATTTTAGATTTCCCTTTCTCATTAAAGAGGAATTTCAAAATTCAAGAATTTTCACTCTTTCATCTACTCTTAAATTTCTAAACATTTATTGAATTCTGAAATTTCTTTTTACTGCTGCATTATCTGTAATTCTTAAAAAATGACAGTCAACACATATATGAAAAGTACTTCCCCCCCCTTACACATTTTTATATATCCTCTGTGGGTTCAACAATGCATCATTTTGCTTAGAACTGTATCACATATTTCTTAATCTCTTCTGAATACTTTTGAAAAAAATTGTTAATTAGAAATTCCTTAATTATGTTATATCAATTTTCAAAACTGTGTCTAACATATTACATGTGGTGGTGCAAAAGTATTTTCTCTTTTAGAGTGGAATAAATATTGGTCATTGGTTATAATATGGTGATCTGGGACATTTTGGATATTCCTAAAATTTAAAAAATTTTCTTGAGCATGTCTAATAAGTTCCAAATTATTTCAACTGAATGGATTTATGTGAAATAAATACTCAGGACTTAAATGACAGAAATCAGCATTTTTCAAGAAGTCATGAAATATTTATGTATAAATCTGATGATTTGTAACCTGTCTTCCAGCAAATATCTATATTTCAAGTGACATAATAACATTAATATAATATTCTTGTTCACATGAAGTATAGTGTCACTCATTTTATTTGAATGATTATGGTACTGTTTGATTTCCTATAAGCTTGAAGCTCTGCTTTTGGCTTTGGACCTGAAGATGTTCAATGTTGATACCTAATTTAATAAATTTAAATGAAAATCAGTAAGTCACATAGCACTTTAGTTAGTCTCAAGAAATGATATTATTTCACATAGGTGTGCCTGCTTCCATGCTTTCCCAACATATCACCACCCTTCAGCTATAAGGCCACGGAGAAATAATGACAAGAAATAGCCTGACAGTGGCAAAGGTTTAATATGAGCCAATCAGTTAGGGTGACCATGGCGTTTAGGGTTATTTCAATCCTAAAATGCTTTACCCCAAGTAGGAAGGAATGGTTCACTATATTCTGAGCTGGTGGGTCTATACATAGGGACTATTTAAATAATTATGAATCTTGGTCATTGGCAATATTAATGACAATATTGCATTTAGAATGACTAACAGATTGGGTGTATTTAGCTCAGTTTAGGGGGCTGTGAATGTTAAGAAATGTGGCTGTGATTGTTAAGAAAGAGATGTAAAGCTGCCTTATGTTTTGGTAAGCCAGAAAAATATGAGAACATTTAATATTCGAACCTATTGAAAATGGAAAAGATGAAATATTGAGCTCCTTGTCACTGCAGGCATCCAAGAAAAGGGTGAATGAAGATGCTCTAGATTACAGATTTCTCTACTAGGTTGGAAATTGTCTAGATTGTCTCCAATATCTTCTGTAAGTCTAAGAGTATTCACATGCAGCTAGCTACCACTGCCCCAGCAGCTGCAGGAGAGCCCTGCTTTCTAACTGAGAATGCAAGTTCCATGAGAGCAGAAGCCAGGATTTCCCTAGAGTTTGGAAGAGCTGTGGTACTTTTTAGGTGCTTGATAATTATTAGTGAATGAATGCCTTCTTCTCTTTGGTCCATTGGATGTGAACCAGAAATGTAGGAAAGACCTGAATAAGATCTCTTCTTTCTTAGTTTCTAGTGAATAGGAGAGGGAGAGTGAGAGGGAGATTTTTTTTTTTCAATTTTAAACTTTCCTAATTTAGGGAAGAAAAAAAGTGATGTTTGAGCTAAGTTACGTAACTACAAAAGAAAGCAAAATCTAGTTATTTTCATATTTTTTACTGTGCTCCATTTTATTTTCAGATGGAGAGTATTCATAATCTTTTCATACTTTAAGTTCTGCTTCATTTTTAAGTATCTATGCAAATTCAGTAAGTTTTCAGAATAAAAAAAAGACAAAACACTAAAAACATGTAGTTTGTGAATTATGTAATAAGTTAGAGTGTTATGGACCAAAACATAAAATGAACCCCAATATGTGGCATAAATAGTGAGTGAAGCAACCTTTAGGGAAAGGACAAAATATACAGTTCAGGGGAAAAAAAAAGCTAACATTTATTGGATAAATAACATCATCTATCAGCCTAAGTTCAACTTCTTAGAAGAGCCTATGTGGTATGTATTATATTTCACTCCCCAACCCCCACTTTGTTTTTTTAACAGATGAAGGAGCACAACCTTAGAAAGGTTAAGTAACGTTTCAGATCACAAATCCAAAAATGCTGGATCCAAGATCCAGACTCAGATATAACTTCTAAAATGTAAATTCTGTGAGTATATTGATTTTATTTTTTTCAATGATGAATCTTCGGAAACTAGAATCTTGCCTGGTGAATAGTAGATGTTTAAAATACACTGGTGAATAAATAAATGGACATTTGAACTCTTGTCTACCACATAGTACCACATCCCACACTCTTTATGACCAAAGCAAGTTGTTATCTAAAATGTCATTAAAGAACAGTGAATTTTGACTTTGAAAATAAAAGGATATAGTAAAAATTTTATGTAACAATGATCTAGTACTTGATTCAGGTCCATCATGGAGTCTAGGCAATCCTTTTGTAATTAATATTTCAGGTCACAGCTAATATGGGTATCAGTAAAAATGAATGAAGAAATGAAAAAAGGAAAGCCTGGAAACAAGACATTTTGCAGGCAGAAGCTACATAGTCTCGTGCACAATTATATGGTGGTGCTGGTGGGCAGGAGTGTTGGTTAAGGTGAGGGAGATGCCAAACCAAAGCTTCATAAGGAGGCAGACAGTTGAATGAATACACTATTCATAGAAATAAGTAAGTAAGGAGGAGTAAGTTCTTGACTGAATAGGGGAAAATGTTGACACTAATTTTCAGTTTGGGTATGTATCAGCCAACCATGTCCAAAAGATATTGGGAATAGAACTGGAGATCTGGAAATTGGTAAAAGGTGAAAGTAAAGATTTGTAAGATATTCAAAAATCCTAGGGAAAAGAAAAACAATATGAGAAGAAAACAAATGTCTCTTTTCATGGAATAGAGGATAAGCCAGTGAACGAGAAGATGGATTGGGGAGGGAAGTGGAGAACTCTTAAGTATTGAATCAGAGAAGTCTAAGTAGGGAAGAGTTACAAGAAAGAAGGAATGATCAACAATGTCAGATAGGTGAATCAAGGGCTACTGGGTTTGTGGATAAGGAGGTTACTAGTGATCCTCAGGAAACCTGAGGGGCAGAAGAGTGGAGAGCTCTTAAGGATGGATGCAGGTAGAGGCTGGAGGATCCTTTCAATGGTCAGAGGATGGGAGCAGAGCAATTGACTGTGATAAAAAGATGGTAGACCACGTTATCTCTCTCAACACACACACACATATACATACCCCACATTTCTTTCCTTGTATATAAATCCGAGACTGAACAGAACGGCAATTTTGAATATAAAAAGAGAAGGGCTGAAGAAAGGAGATCAGGGGTCGCAGGTTACTTTGGTAACAAGAGCACTTTTTTCTCTGAGATTACAATAATAAAGCAGAAGGAATAGATTAAAAAAAGAGAGCAACTTTGTAGAGTTAACCTGGTTAGAAGGCATGGGTAGAGGGAAATACTAAGCTCTAGCTCTCAGTTAGCAATCAGATTACCTGTGTGACACCATGGAAGTCACATTATTTCTGTATCCCAGTTTCTCCGTTACACAGAGAACACCTTAATGATAGTGACCTGGTCATTTTTATTTGGATATCTAGCACCTGGACTTGTAAACTGCTTGTGAAGTGATTTAGTTCAATTTGAGAGTTGGATCATTAGTGAAACTTTGTCTCAGGTTAGTCCCTGTCCTGTCCTGTTATATTTTGGTAAACTCCCGATTTTTTTCACAACCCTTAAAGACTTATATATAACAAATACCCATTTACATGAGCTGGATTAAGTCTTTTTCTTTGTAACCATACAAGCTCTACCAAAACAGGTTGATTCAAAAAACATCTAAGAATCTATTGGCTGCCAGTGTGTTCCAGACACTAAATACTAGAGGAATTATCCTTCATTTTATGCAACTAGGTTAAAATATTTTAAAGGTTCTTTAGAAGAATAAATGCCTGTGAAAAGCCAATGAAATTATTTTTAAAATAAGTTTAGTCCAGAATGAGTTTTAAGTGAATAAAATGCTTAGCTAATAAAACTGGCAGAATACACACTACCATTTTTATAGTGGAGGAATTAATGAATGAGGATTGTAACATTTTGTGTCATATATTTTATACTATTTACAAGAAGCAGATAGAACTCTGTGTGTGTGTGCATGTGCTATGAAAAAAGTTTTTCAAGAGGACCCGGGGGTGGGGGAAATAAAGAATACTAGTTTAGGTACTTCACTTGCCAAGAGTTACTCTAAAGTCATTCCAATAAAAATAGAATGTATTGACACAAAAAAGTAGATAAATATTAGAGTATACAGAAATTTGATTTAAGACTATGAGAACTTTATATGAAAAGCAAATGGAATTTTCAGTTCAGATTGGAAAATATGCATTTTAATACAATGGATAATGCTACATTTCTATCTGAGATCATGTAACAAAGTGCATTTCTGATGAATTAGAGATTTAAATGAAATACATAATTAAGTGCATAAAATGATAGAATTGAATTTTTGTGTATATTTATATAATGTTGTAAACAGGGGTAAACTTTCTTAAATTGGAAAAGTTTCTGTGAAGAAAAAGTTAGTTATATTTTCCTATACACAGACTAAAAAAGTGAGTATTTTGAATGGCCAAAGGCTCAAAACAAAGGGAAAATACACACAATAGGCTGGAGAAAATATTGCTGCACAAAGGATTAATAATCTTTATTAAAAATGTTGTTTTATTCTATATCATCAGGGCCTAGTACTATGCCTGACACTTAGCACATGCTTAATAAAAGTTTATTCAATGAATCAATAACTTGGGCTAATTGCTAGGATTTAGGTGATACCCTCCCTCTATTTTTTCCTTTTTGAAAACTTGATCCACACATTTGCTAAAATGCCTCCATGTGTTATTGTGTGTGTGTTTAAAAGAAAATCATGAAATACTGGTTTTTCTTTTCAAGACAGTTGATAAATATGATGATTAGGTGTATCACTTCTGGAGGTAAATAACATGTTTTAACAACAGAAACAAAAATTGTTTTCTGTTCCAGATATGCTATTTTCAATGTGAGCTGGTAGGTAACCGGCCTGAAACTCACTTAAAAAATATAAATACCCGTAAAATAGGGCTAATAAACAAACTTCAAAGGATAAAATGAGATACAGTAACATAATGCTTATGTAATCATACAAAAATCATCAACTATTGATAATTTTTATTATTTGCTTGTGGAAAATCTGTTTAATGAATTAACAACAGCAAATTTTCAATTCAGGTCAATTAGACATTGCTTGCCAATCACACTTCCCAGCTATTTTCAAACAATCAACAGATGCACAGAAAATAGACTAATTTAATATTTACCACAGTATTAGTTGTTTTCAGTTTTATTTCCCCCAATTGCTTTATGACTCCCTTTTTTTCCTTCTTCCTTATTTTGAATTAATCAGTTTTGGATTATTCCATTTATTTTTCTTTTATTGGCCTGCTGGTTACACATCCTTCAATGCTGTTTTAGAAATTCCCCTAGAGATTAAACATGTGTCCTTGGATTATTAGAATGAATCTAAATTAGTCCTCTTACCACATTCCAGTCAATGCCAAACTTTAGAATATTGAACTCTATTAACCTTCCCCAACCCTTCAGGTGCCATTAGTATTATTGTTGTCACATATGTTAATGCTACATATACTTTAAACCCCTTAAGATATTATTATTGTTGTTAATATTATTTTGTATAGTCAGTATTCCCTCAGATCTTCCTCAAATATAGCCTATGTAATTTTTTCCTGCATTTTTGTGTTTCTCTTTGGGATCATTTTCCTTCTGCCTGAAGAACTACTTTTAGCATGCTCTTTCATGTAGGCTGGTGTTGATGAATATGCTTAGTCTTTGATAATCTAGAAATGTCTATGTTGTTTCACTTTTGAAAGATATTTTGGCTGGTTGCCAGATTTTTTTTTTTCACATTCTGTTCATATTATTCCATTGTCTTTGTTCTACATCTTCCGGTTGAAGAGGCAGTTCTCAGTCTTATGATTGTTCCTTTGAAAATAATATATCCTCCTTTTTAGGTACTCTTGTGGTTCTTCTCTTTGTCTTCGGTTTTCAGCTGTTGTACTGTCTTGTGAACCAGTGTGGTTTTCTTTTCAATTGCCTTGTCTGGAGTTTGGAACACCTTCTGAATCTGTGGTTTGGTATCTTCCATGAACTGGTAAGTTCTTGACATTCACTCTCAAAAATCGTCCTTTTTCATAGTTGCCATTCTCTCCTCTCTTTCTGGAGGGAGGTGGTGTTATATGCATATTAGAACTTTGCACTGTGTCCCATCTGCCCCTTTCATTCTATTCACAGTTTCCACCCTTTCTGCTCTTCAGGTTTCCCTCAGGGTATTTTATAGTTACCTGACTTCCAGTTCACTAATCCTTCCCTCAGCTATATTCAGCCTTCCAATTGTTAAACCAATCCAATGAAGCGTTTGTTTCGATTACTGTATTTTTCAGTCCTAGAATTTCTATTCAGCTCTTTTTTATGGGTTCCTGTTATCTGGTAAAATACTCCATCTTGTCATCTATTTTCTTGACTATTTGAGAAAATAGTTACTTTAAAGTCCTTGTTTGATAATTTTAGTATCTGGGTCATCTGTTGGTTTTATATATTGCTTGTGTGTTTACCAGAACTTTTAATGGAAATTCTGGGCACAGTCTGTAATTACCAAGTCTCTGGGTAGTCTAAATGGTACTTTTTATGGTGGCATTTTTCTTTTTCTGCTTCAGAGAAGATTTGAATGGACAAAGAAAACAGGTGAAGACAATTTTGAAGATCTGAGTTTGAAAAAAATTTGTTGAAAAGCATGTATATGGAACAAATGACCCAGGGTATTTTCCATTAAAATTAAAAAACTTCCTGTGCATTTACTCTTGTCAAATATAAAAATTGCTACTTGTTTATTGCCTTATGTTTATAACATCACTAAGAACACTTGTCTTTTTTCAACTCAGTAACCAAAGTCAGACCATTTCATAATGTAAAATGTTGTTTTCATCTTTTCTATTGGGAAAACAGAAAATAGATGGGAATAAGATTTTCTGAGATTTCATTCTTGTTAGGTACTACCATATTTCTTTTCTTGAAATAAAGGAAACAGCTAACTGCAGTTACTTGAGAGACTAAGATTACAATCATCATGCTCCCCAGTTAGAATGAATTGACATACATGCCATGGGACTGTGCAGTTTGAATGCTTGGCAGACCTGTGGTCTTACGGCATTTTGAAAAATGATGCACATACATAATTTGAAAATCTGAAATGCATTGGCAGAGATCAGGAGATGTTTGTGTTAATGAAAGCATGATTTTCTGGATCAAAGCAGACAAGGGAGGCTTAATTCTCTCAAATGAGGAAGGCTGCAGAATCTGTTTAGTGGATGAAAAGAGAGGTTGATACAAGATGAACTCTTTAAATAAGGGCGAAGTATCTTATCAATCCAAACCAATTTTGAATAGTCCATCCTCCTCTCTGGAGGGACACTGGGAATAAAGGGATGAAATCAGCATGCTTTTTAAAACCTCTAAGCAAGTATATATCTTAACTCTCTAGTGGGACACTTACAATTTCAGTCAGCTGGTATGAAAATGTGGACAAAAAGTTTTAGGTTTTATTTGAATGTAAATTCTGTTCAACTCAACATCCAGCACTTAGGAGAGGGAGAGAAAGAAAAATAAAGTATGAATGTGAAATTAAATTTGGGAATAAAATGTGAGGAAAAGAATGAGAAATTAGGGATTAAAAAACCCTTGAGAGGAATGGGGAAGGTGTACGTGTGTCTTTAATAGAGTGATAACTAATGTGTACTATGTATTTAGTGGGACTTATTTCACATTAGTCATCCTATGGTAAATGAGGAAAAGTTGAGGTATGGCATAAAGATGATGAATAGAAAAGGAAGAAGCAGTAATAAAGAAAAAAGAGAAGAGGGCAAGAGGCAGTGGAATCTTTGGCGTTACTTACTGGCTTCTGTGAAGGGCAGTAGATTACTTAGGACTAGAGTTGAATGTCTGGTTTCCTGAGGAGTAGTACCTGGACGTTGTTTGTATGTTTGTTTGTACGTTTACCAATTCAGCTCCAATGGTGTTCTCACAGTGACACTCCTATGCTTCCAGCCCCTACCTTTAATCTCTAGGGTCTACCATGGGAAAGGGGCTATTCTGCTCAAGTTTATGTACAACATTGTAAATACAAAACCAATAGCACAGGGCCAGACTCACAGTTCCCAAATAAAAGTTTCAGAAAGGACATTTTTTTTAATGGCAAAGTAAATACATAGACATTAACTAAATTGTATTATGAGTTTTTTTCTGTAAAGTTAATATTATTCATTTAGTAATTATTTACACTTAATAGTAAAGTTAGTGCTATAAGACAGATGTTATCTTAAAAAGGGAGAAAATTTCTTCCAAATGCCAGTGAAGTGACAAAAAGTACAATGCATTCAAGTGAATCAATTTTTTTCATTTGATAGATTTGTTAACACTCAAAATATAGTAGAAATAGAAACAATAGTGTTTTCTAAAGTAGTTAATTTCTGTTGGCCACAAGTCTCAGGATTATGTAATCAAAGCAGAAGAGTACAGCTTTGAAAATAATTAGTCATGTCAAGTTTTCACATATGTACAAGTGTGTACCTATGGAAGGCAAGTATTGTGTTATGTATTTAAACTTGAGATAAGTTAATAAACAGTTGTAGGTGGAGCCAAGATGGCGGCGTGAGTAGAGCAGCAGAAATATCCCAAAACCACATATATTTATGAAAATATAACAAAGACAACTCTCCCTAGAATAGAGACCAGAGGACACAGGACAACATCCAGACCACATCCACACCTGCGAGAACCCAGCACCTTGCGAAGGGGGTAAGGTACAAGCCTCAGCCCGGCGGGACCTGAGCGCCCCTCCCCCCAGCTCCCAGCAGGAGGAGAGGAGTCGGAGCAGGGAGGGAGAGGGAGCCCAGGACTGCTAGACACCCAGCCACAGCCATCCGGACCAGAGGGCAGACACAGTGCATGTGTGGGGTCCTGGATACTAGGGAAACAGGACAGCAAGACCTGTGAGCGGGTCCCTGAGGCTGGCGCCCGGGGACAAAGAAAAGTGAGTGGCTTTTTTTTTTTAATTATTTAATTATTTAATTATTTATTTTTTTGCGAGTG